TCGCCCACACCAGGGCGTGAGCCCACCGGGGGAGGATCCCACAGCACACAGTTCCTCTTTGAATCCCCCCGGCGTAAGCTGGCTGGGCGCCCTCAGGCCAACTCTCTGGCAGGATCAAGTGGACTCGGGGGCACCCCGGTCACCCCTCTCCCAATCAGAAATCAGTCTGGGATTTTTCCGAACTGAAGGCCACAGAGATGGTATCTGCCTCCCAGAAGCAGGGAGTTTACCTGGGGCCTCGGCCCCAGGTGTGGTGGAGTGACAGTCTGGCCGGGATCGTCTTCCCTGCCCTCCCGACGCTGGCTGGGGGCTCCCCACGCCACCAGCCCCGTCAGAGATCCGCGGGAGGAGTGGGATTGGTGGCCGCTCCACAGGCCCCGGGGGGCCCCGCGCTGAGGCACACAAGTGGCACGGCTCAGTGAGGAGCCGCACCAAGTGAAGATGGCTGGCTTGCCTGATCTGAGCCGGCTGGCTCCGCCCCCCCCCAGAGAAATGGAGGCAGTGCTGCTGAAGGCACCTAGCCTGGTGTGGTAAGCGGGGGCCAGGCGGGCCTTTGCCCCCCAAGCGGGACTGGGCTGGGGGTCACTCACAAAGCTCCCAGAGCTGGGCCGGTCCCGCGCCTTCCTCTCTGTCTCTGCGTCGCCGCTGCCGTCTTTCCTGGCCTTTGTTGCCTTGGGCTGCTCGGTCTCCCGGCGCAGTTGCGGCGCTCTCAGGAATCTTCTTTTGCATCGGCCCTAAAACCTCGAGACTGTAGTTGCTTTTTTTCGTTGTAGATTAGTTGATCAGTGATTTATTTGTTTTTTGTTGCTCTTGGAAATGCAAATAGTACTCTGGCAGCACAGCGCACACTTTACAGGCTCTCTCTGTCCTCTGGCACGCTCACTCCAGACCCGTCGCCATCTTGCTCCCTTGCAGCTTTTCTTAGACAATAGAAACACACACAGAGGATCTTGAGCCTCCTTAGCTCATGAGATGAGGCCCTGAGAGGCAGCGAGTCCTGGAAGAGGGGAGGAGCTTCCCTCACTCCCTCCCGGCTCTATCATGCTGTTCTGGGGCCAGCAGGGATGATCCTCCTGCCTTCAGGACTGTCACTAACCAGCTGGTCCAGTCTGGTCCCCGGTGTGAGTGTGACGGCCCCCCTGGCAGGTGGCTCCTGCGTGCTGAGAAGACAGCCCTGAGGCAGTGGGGAGACATAAAAGATATCCAGTGCAGGAGACAATGGGTCAGGCAAATAAGATGTCCTTTCGTGTCCCTTTCCCTGTGTGTGAGAGAGAGGCAGAGATAGGGAGACAGCGAGGGTGAGCTGGCATTGTCTGCGCACCCCTGGTGTCCTTATGGAATGTAAGCCTCAGAGGCTGAGGCTGCCTCAGTTGCTCTGCAGGGATGAGGAGCACAGGCTGGGTAACATGGTGAATCCACATAGACTCAGCACTGTCGTGCTGTCTATACAGCTCACCTGTGAACAAATGCTTCAGTAAGAGCCCTGAGGTCTGTGCTGGAATATTCTAGCACGTTGAATTCTGAAGAGTAGAGGGTAATGAGGTGGCTTCTGTGTAGCTGGGAGTTATGACAGGACTCTCTCTGGCTGCAATTACGGTTTCCAGGGACCCCAGCCTGGTGAGGTAGACTGAGGCAGCCATCAGTTCTCCATTAAGAAGCCTCAGCCCCTCTTCTTGTGCAGGTTACTACGTGTGGGGGGAGTCCTATGGCCTGCACCAACTGGGGACACCTGCCGACTTGAGCCCGGCCACAGGCAAGAGCAGTGTGGTTGATGGGATAACGGACCTGTACAAGCACCCTGACGACATCGACGTCTGGCTGGGCGGCTCAGCTGAAAACTTCCTCCCCAGGGCCTGAACCGGTTCCCTGTTCTCCTGTATCACGGGGAAGCAGATGAAGGCCCTGAGGGATGGTGACGGGCAGGTGCCCCGGCCGTGTCTCTTCTGTATTCTACAGGCATGTCTGCATTGGTGACATTTGAAGCCAGGCAGGTCTGGATGCAAACATTGGCTCCGTCGTTCAGTGCTCAGGTGGGCTGGGCAGGCGACGTCCTCAACCGAGAAACAAGGTCCTTACAGAGATGAAATAGTGCAGAGCACACAGCATATCTCAGCACTTACCATGTGAACCACTGTTCATTTCCCACGTATCTAATCACACGGCTAAGCAGCCATCTAGTGAAAAGCAACCGTGTTTCACAACAACCCTGCAACTGCACTGTCTTCAGAAGTCCTGGGACAACATCTGCTGAAACTGCAGAGGTGGACACTGACAGGTGCCAGGGTGAGGGCCTGTGAGTTCTGCCCGTGCACTACCGTCCACCCTCCAGCCCAAGCGGGGCCGTGCTTGCAGGTGCAGCCAGCAGGCCCAGGCCCTGCCTTACACATTTCTGTTTCCTTCTCGATTTCAGCCCAGAACTCTGAACCTTGTATAGCCAGAGAGAGTCAGAGGAGCAGGCTCCTCATGTCTGTGTCTTATGCTCTGATCGCCATGTGCTGCAGGAGATGCTGACACACACGATGAATTAGAATTTGGGAAAGTGCAGACAAAACAATGGGAAAATGTTTTCTTTACCTTTTAAAATAATCCTTACACATCCAGTTCTCTCCCTCTCTCCCTTGCTATGTCAGAAGCTACTGTGCCTAAGTCAGATTTTTTCACAAGAGTGCAGCAGCCAGAACCTAAGCCTCCTTTCCTCCCCCAGCACAAATTTTACCATTAATTTATGAGATACAGCATTTCAAGTAGTTAAGGTGGGGGGCAGAAATAACTAGGGGAATTTATCTCCCTCAAAACTGAGGTTCGGACCGTTCTGGGACATGGGAGCCACGAATTCAGAGAGGAGGGCAGATCCTCGACACACCCCATGTGTGGGTCCCAGGACCTCTGGGTCCCCGAGTGGCAGCGTGCGTTTCTCATCCTGGTATTCACGGTGGAGCATCTCCCACCTTCAGAAACTGACCAACTGATTTCTGTAGAATGAGGCCTCTTTCTCGTGTTTTAGGAGGAATTCTTTCCTGTGGAGAAAGAGAGAAAAGCTTTATATGATAAAAAGAAATAAATGCTTTATGGCATTATGGCATATTTTAGTGTTTGGAGAGGAAAGTGAGACTTTCTTTCCTGCCATGTCACTCTCCCCGATTAATCAGGGCTTGCAGGAGGAAGACAAGGTGCAGAGATCGCGCAGCACTTTGGCGTCTGTCTGGACGGCAGCAGTTTCTAAAAGCTGAATTTGCTGTCATTCTTGTTTTTAAAACAGCACTCCAGCCCAGGTGAAATCAGTGCAGCAAAACAGAGCGATGTAATAAACAGGAAGAGTGGCTTTAAGGGCCTTTCCATCTGACACTGTTTCTTCAGATAGCCACCCCACATCAGCGCTGGGGAGCCCCCTCCTCATTCCCTCCCCTGTGTCCCCAGCCCTGGGTGCACCGTGGTCACCACTTTCCTGGGCACAAACAGTGGTGGGATGACACTTAATATGTGCCATAAATGTAAGCCACCCCAGTGAGCTGTCCACGCTGTGGCTCTCACACGCTCTCCTTCCGGGCAGGTTCTGGTGGGAAGACAGCCACATCTTCACTGAGGCTCAGCGGCGTGAACTACAGAAGCCTTCCTTATCTTTAGTCATCTGTGACAACACCAGCCTCACCCACGTGCCCATCGACGCAGTCCACATGGCGAGATTCCCCCAAGACTTGGAGGCATGTGAGAACATTCCCTGCATGAACCTGGCAGTGTGGAGGGAGACCTTTCCTCAAGGTGACTCTCCACCTCTTGTCACATTGTTACAGTACGTGGGTTTCATCAAAGAAAGCACAGCTTCTCCAAGAAGCTGATCTCAAGTCTGCACATTAGGCGACAGCACGGACACAGGCCTCCCACCTCACGGTGGCTCAGGCCATGTGGTTGCGTCCTCCTCGGCTGAGGAAGGTCTGGACAAAGTTAACCAGCACAGGCCCTCCCTGGGAAAAGACGCTGTGTGCGTGCTGTCCTGTAAGTGCCCAGCAAGGGAGCAGAGCCAGGTCCCCAGCGTCTGCATCAGCACCTCTGGGGTTGTTTTCTGTGGTGGGGTCTGCAGGGTGTAGGCTACACTCTGTGCGGTGTCCAGCAGCGCCCCTACCCCAGCCTCCACCTGCTGGAACCCAGGAACCCACACAGCTGCGGTTACAGGAGATGAGTGCAGGACTGTCACGTGTCCCATGGGCACACCCGCCCCGGGAGAAACAGATGAGGTCGCACATATCTAAGAGCAAATAGTGACCGATGTTGGCTATGTAGAGACAGAGTCTTACCAGGAATGTGGAGGTTTCTGGGATTGAGTTTAGCAAGGAGATGTTCTGACTTTAGTGTTTGTTCTGCACATGCATATGGCACAGATCAATTATATCTCACAAGCCTCGGTCAGCATGAAACACTCATCCTGTTATGATGTACACCAGCTCATGTTGTGCAGGACTGGGCTCCAAGCAGGAGCTTGAGAAGTAGCTATTGGTGCCTCCAATAGGACAGGCACTTCTCCAGGAGCTCAGGACCCATTTGTAGAAATAAATACACACACATATACAGACACAGCACACACACACCCCGCACAGAGGCACACACAGACACACACACAGACACACACACACACACACACACTCCTTCACAGAACTTACACTGCAGAAACAGAAGACAGTAAGGAAATCTCCTCTTTAAGGCCTTGTCTCCAAATGTTGTCACGTTCTGAGCTACTGGGGGTTGGGATGTAAACTCATGAATCTGGGGGGACACAATTCAGCCCATAACAGTTATATTGGTCTGTATCTTTATTTTCTTGTAGCTTGACTGCATTTCAACCCTTCAACGTTGTGCAGATAACAAGTGTGGCCTCCCAGACAGAGTGGAGAACGGGGACTTTGTGCACTGCAAGGAATCCAGGAGGCATGTGCCGGTGTTCTCCTGCGGCCAACAGATAGAAGCTGCACAGACGAGAACAAGCCACCTGCACCCAGAAAGAATGGGACGTCCCACCCCCCACTTGCAAAGGTCAGTCATCGAATAGGGTAGGTGGTTTTTAACAGTAATTATAAAAATGATTGCATATTTCAAATATAAATTAAGAATAAATGCTATGCCTTCACCAAAATTGAGCATAATTTTCTTCTCAGGAACTGTTCTGGCATGAAAATAAAGGTCCCCCTGAGGTGACCACATTCCCAGTCAACATCTTTCTGGATGGTGAAGCATCAACATGATCACATCATGACCTAGGCAAGGACAGACAAAAAGGCATTGGTACATCACAGGTGAGTTGTGGTAAGGAGCCACAGAGCCGATTCTCAAAAGAAACACATCAGAAATGTTTCTACTCTGGGAAGCCACAGAATCAGACCCTGCACCACACCCACGTCGGCGACTTCCAGCCCATGTTCTCTTCCTTACGTACATTGACTCTGCTTCTGACCATCCTTACATTGAGGTGAGGCAGGCACAGCCTTCCAGCCACTGCAGAAGTGCCTAAGGGAGAGGCCATCTTCAGGCCACACTTAAGAACCCCCTGAGCCACCGCCATGGGCTTCAAGCACGTGGGGAGCAGGTAGTTAGGTGGCAGAGCCTTGAGTTAGAGAGCCTGAGTCCTCAAATCATGCAGGGGAGCCCACAGAACCTGTGGGACAATGAGCCTTGTGCATGTCCCCTAGGGCCAGGGATTCATTGTCAGAACAGCTAGTGTCCCGTAATTCTGAAGTTCCCCAAAACAAGACCCAAAGTGCCGGCTCTGGCCAGTGAGCAGGTGGTGGCAGTGTGGGCAGAAACATGAGTAGCCTGCATTCCATGGAGGGACGTCTGCTCAGACTGTCACCAGCAGGAGTTTGGAAGGAGGCAGGTCGCCTACTGAGGCTGTGTTCTCGGGGGGAGGCTGGCATTGGAGACAGCCTCGGTGGGCTCCTTGTCAGAGCTGCAGTTGGCAGGGTTTCAGAAGGAGGGGATGACTCGTGCAGGAGTGTGGCTGCTTTGCAAGCACACATAAAAACAAAATCCAAATTTTTTAGTTTTTTTCAGTTTCAGTTTGGGAGGATGAAAACGTTCTGGAGATGGATGGTGGTCATGGCTGCCACTAAACTGTACACATGAAAATGGCTAGAATGGTGAATTTTATGTCATGTATAATTTACCACAATAACAAACATTTCCATTTCAATTTTGGAAGTCCAAAGTGTTTTGTCCTTGAAGGGTTGCTCTGGCCAACTGCTTTAGACTTTGAAGAGAAAAAGACACGACTGAGTCTGTGAGCACCAAAGACGCTCCAAGACCCAGGCCCACGGCATCTGTCAGGTGAAGGGTGCAGGCTGCCCACCACGTGCATTGTCTCAGGCACACTCAGGTAGGACCTTAAAGCTGAGAGAGGGGGGCAAGGGAGCAAAGAGATAAAGCCGGCTGGGAATAATATCTAAGAAATAACCTCAAGAAGCGTTAATGGCACATGGAGCTGATAGGAAAGAAATAGATCAGAAGCCTGCTAGGTAGATGAGAGACATTATTGCCAAAATCGCTAGCCTGGACTGGAAAACCTTTGTCTGAACTGTTAAAACAATTTCACACTCCCATGGTTGCTCCAGGAGGAAGTGGTCCCTTGAGACCAAAGTCAGACGCACTCCCTAGTCTGTCTTGGGTTTGGTTGTGATGACGGTGGGCAAGGAGAAGCCACCTGGAGGCTAGACAGTGCCCCACGGGACAGCGGACCAGGACAGCTCTCCAGAGAACACAGTCAGAAATATGCAGCATGGTGACAGCCACATGCATTTGTGATAACCGTCAACTACCACGTCCATCACTCCTGACCATCGTGCTCTGTAGCTCATCCTCCAGCAGCAACAAGTGTAACAATGTGGAAGTTGTCTGAGTTGTTTTGGCATAGTGCCTGGACAAAACTGAAATTCCCACTTTGCCCCAGATTCTTGGCTCTCCGCATCGACAGCACGATCCAGGAGACCACGGCACGGGCTTCAGGGTTAGCACAGCAGGCGCGCTGTGGCCGACCAGCCTGCCTGCTGCACACCTCACCTGCGCGCCCTGTGTCTCTTGTTGCCTAAGTATCTAGACATTTTGTACACCCATTTTAGCTATTTGTGACCCCAAAGCTCTATTTACAGGGATTTGTGAAGTACAAATAAAGTAAGAACTAAAGCTTAGAAGCAGACAAGTAAAGGGATGTTCCGTGCATCCTGCCTGCCACGTTGGGAGCATTCTCTGACTTTCCAGTCTCGTGACTTTGTTCACCTTATCTCCTAAATGTGGCATGTCCTCCCTTCCTCTTCTTGGCAAATTTACAAATGGCATCAAAATCTCTCTTCTGTTACTGAAATCACCTCGCTCCACTAGCCTCCGCCGTCCTTTTTCTTCCTTGATTTTTCACCGCAGCAGGACACGGTTCCCTACAGTTAGGATCAGTTGTTGGTCAAGCACCATGGCCAGCAGGGACTCAGGACTAACACTGAATGTCGCTCTGTCTCTGGTCCAGTCTGGGTGTTCCATGGGGTGCAGGAGGGTTTCCCAGCGTGGCCCATGCACTGCAGAGTGGGTGACCAGGTGGGCTCTGGGCCAGCAGAGGCAGTGTCACCAGCACGTCTTTAGATCTGCAGCATCTCAGGCCACCCCGTCCCCAGCTCCTGAGTCAGAATCCACATCCTCAAGAGACCCTGTTAGACTGAGTCTATGAACGCCTGAGATGCCCGTTGCCCAGCCCTAACCGTTGGCCTCGTTCTGTTGTGTGCTGACTCGGCCTTCTTGCCTGGGCCATTCCAGCAGTTATCTAATGGCTCTCCGGAATTGCTTGTCCTCTGTGTGCTTCTGTGTTGTCAAATGTGAAATGAGGATGGTAGTAAGGTCTACTTCATGGGTTGTCAACTTCAATTAGTTAATAAATGCGTAGTACAAAGAACCAGTCACAAACCTATTGTTATTAACGTAGTACGTGCTGAAAGCTGTGGTCTAACATGTTACATCCACACCGTCAACTATCATGCTGAATAAATTAGCAGTACAACTATCGACTTGGAACACTTATCGCTAAGTAAAAATGCAACTTACAGCGAAATGTGTTTATTGAGAATCATTTAGATTTTTAGACAGCAGTGAAGGGTATGTGTGTGTGTCACACCTGTGAATACGAAGCCGTGGCCACCCACAAGAGCTCGTTGGAATTGGTTACCCAGCAGAGTGAGCTGTGAAGAGGCAGGACAGGCTGTGCACTTTTTAGTTATAATACTCTATGTTTTTGTCCTACTGCATTTATAATTAAAGTATAATACCTTAAAAATAAACAAATTACAAACAGCTCAATAAGAAAAATCCCATGGTATAAACTCACTCATTTATACATGCAAATATTTTCACCATATCTATTCCCTAAACTAGAAGATTCTAAATCAAAAGTTACAAAAAAAAAAAAATAGACTCCTAGATAGTCCAGGGAGGGAACTCTTTACTTTTATGGTAAGTCAATATGAATATAAGTTTTCAATCTGATCTTCAATGAAATCCGCTTATCAACATGTCTATGGCTGCAGAAAGAAAAGCTACAGGTTAATTGAATATTTGATATAGAGAAGTGAATGAGATTTGCTGCTCTTTTCTCTATTCACATCCGATTTATCTGCTAGAATCCATCCACACAGAAATCTGATAGAAAAAAAATCCTAGCAAATAAATTGCAGTAAGTCTTGTTTGAATGCTTTAAAGTTGTGAATTCCAAATAGATAAAGAACTATGTGGCTTGTTGCAGTAGTTATTGTCAAGAGGTTTTGCAATAAATAAATCCAAGTGTTTTTATGTCTATTATGGAAAATAAGATTTGCCATCATCACAAATTTGCTTAGAAAAATGTAAACATCTGTTCAGATGTTTGGGCACTAGCTGCATGTGGAGATTTGGTGGTGCTGCCTGGTGCTCTTCTTGAAAAAACATGGTAAAGTGGGCAGATCTGCTAAGCCTGGGCCTTTGTGCAGATTGGTGCAGGAATCGGGGGACCCTACAGGCCTGACCCTATGGCTCCTTCTCTGGTGTAAGGAGCACCATTGTCCAAGCGGGGTAGATTTGTGACACATTGCTCAGTGTAATCCTCAGATGAGGAGACCTAGATTAGGATCAACTGGTCATATGTAGAGTGTTATGGGCTGAACAGTGTCCCCAAAAAGGTATGTTCACATCCTCACACTCAGTACCTCAGACCTTGTTTGGAAACAGGGTCTTTGCAGATTTCATTGAGTTAAAATGAAGTCATTAGGGTGGGCCATAATCCAATGCCTGGTAATCTTGCGAGAGACACAGAGATGATGGCGGTGTGAAGGCTAATTGTAGAGATGCAGCCACAGGCCAAGAAAGGCTGAGGATTTCCAGACACCAACAGAATGTGGAAGAGACAAGGAGGGACCCTCCCACAGAGTCTGGAAGGAGCACAGCCCCGCTGACAATCGACTCCAGACTTCTGGCCTCCAGACCTGTGAGAGAAAAATTTCTGTTGTTTTAAGTCCCCAGTTTGTGGCGATTTTTCATGGTAGCTGCAGGAAAATTGTCCATAGGGTAAGCCTGAGCCCCAGGTGAGGCCACAGGTAACTTCACAGGGTACCAGTGCTTCGTAGCGCTGCACTGTGGGATGTAGGCGGGGCTGGTTCCAGGTCAGTTTCATCCAAGAAAGGTGTCACATGTTAAAAGTCCTTGGCATGGTCAAAGGTAAGTAAAACATTTTTAATAACTTCTACAATGAAAAGACGATTAACAATAACTCATAGCCACACAGGTCCAATTCTTTGAAGTCTCTCCACTCCCTTATTATACTATCACATCATTATTGCCAATATCATGAATACCATTACTAATAGGGCATTTTGAGGGCCTGTCTTATCCCAGACACCATGCTAGGTTCTTGGGTGCATTGTCTTTAATTCCCTGGCATCCTTCACAGTCTGCATATTTACACCCACCTTATAAGAAATAAAAGTCAGCTGTCGGGGCCAGACTGTCACCCTGGACCCCTGCATCTGGCATGAGTGGCCTAATCAAGCCCTGACCCCTCCAGCTGAGCCCACGCACCTGGCCTGCAGAACCAGCCCGCTGGCCTGTGGGGCTCTGCGGGTGGCTTCCCTGTGGTCACACTGAGCATTCCACTCCACCCTCCTCCAAGTTTGTGCCTTTGTCTTGGCTGTTGTCAGCACAGGGTACCTGGACTTGGGGGGAGAGTTTGAAGCCACCAGGCCTGGCCCTCAGTGATGGTTGAGCCCAAGGCTATTTTCGTTCCATCCTGCCAGAGGACCTCTCAAAGGACACACACACATAGCGCCTTCTAATATGTTTTACTTATAGAACACGTACTTAGTAACAGAACATTTTTGACATCCTACTGCTTGCTTCCTGGAATTGGCCAGAAAAGAAACATTATTTGAAGAAAAAGTTGTAGAGCAAGTTATTCAGAAACAGGAGCCCAGGAATCAAGTCTGAGTTATAGATGTCAGGTGCACGTTCCTCGTTTGCAGTGGAGGGCGTGGAGACCCCAACGGTGACAGTGACGTGCACGGCACTAATGTTGCCGAGATTAAAAATTAAGTTACCGTCCCCTGTTCGATGTCTGCTTCTGCAGACAAGCACTGCAGGAGCCTCTGCACCACAGGAGCAGTGACAACGTTCCCTGAGGAGGAGGGGACGGTCCCAGCCCCGAGCTCTTGCTCTCAGGGACTTTGCTGGCCAGCTGGGAAATCATCTGCTTGGATGTGATGACCCTGTCCCCACTTCCACCCCCTCCTTCCCACCCCTCCATACCCTGCACCTGCCAGGTTCCTCCCCGGGCAGCGCCTGCTGTCTTGCAGGGAGGCTCTTCGGCCGGGTCTGGTGGGTGCTGCGTGCGGGCCGCGGCCGGTCCAGCGTCAGCTGCAGAGGCCTCAGGTGCACGAGGTGGGCGGGGAGGATGCGGAGCATCGTGGTCGGAGGGGACTCGCTGGAGCCGGGTCCTGAGAGGAGCAGGCCACCACCACCTCAGGGGGCTGTGGGGGACAGTGGCGGCCGTGACACGGAGGTGGCACCCGCGCTCTGCTTGGGCACGTGGACCTCTGCCTGGAGCGGCTGCCGCGGGATGGGGAGCGCGGCTCCCTGGCCTCGCTTGCAGGTGTCAACGAGGGCAGAGAGCCCGCGCGTCCTGCCACTCCTCCGCGACGTGCAGGGACAGCAGGGCGGCTTTCACTGCGTCTGCAGTGACCCGCAGGAGCTGGGAGAGGACGTGAGGACCTGCGTCGTGAGCCTGTTCCCTGCTGCGCCCCTGTCACTGTGCTGACTTTAGGGGGAAGAACGGGCTCCGGGTGGCCAGCACGTCTCCGTCCTGATGGGGAGGGCAGAGGTCCGACTGCAGGGCCGTGGAGCTGTGTGTGCCACTGCCCCGATGCTGGCTCATGCCACCTTGCCTGGCTCTGCTGCTGGGTGGGAACCTGATGGTGACTTTCCAGAGGACGTGCACAAGGTACAATCCTAGCTCAGATGATACCCAAGGACGTGAAACTGTCCTGACACTCCAACATTGAAGAGATTCACCGGTTACCTCTCTTCCTCCCGGGCCCCTTCAATCGCACTCCCCTGTACATCCTGCGGTGGCCTGGGTGGCTCCTCTGCCTGTCCCTTCACTAACCCCTGCCCTGCACAGTGCTGGACAGGCTCTGTGCTCTGGATCGGGAGCGTTCCTGGTGCCCACCGCAGCCGGGCAAGGGCCTGACAGGCACTAGGCACCATTTCAAACATCCAACTAATTGAATCCCCCAGTGAGTGATGTCTAGGAGCTAAGTACTATTTTTAATCCTCGCCTTACAGAAGAAGACACTGAGGAACAGAGGGTGAGGGACTTGCTCCGGGTCCCACAGCCACTCCGTTGCACGTCTGAGATTTGTAACTTGGCTTCTTTCTCTTGGAAAAGAATGACTGTGAACCGGACAGGAAGGAAGGAAAGATTTTATTTGAGGTACTGTAGTTTGAAAAATAGACCTCCTATAGGACTGAGCTCAGTTCCAAATACAGCAAAGTCAGCTGGGGACTTATAGCCAAGGACAGAGTGAGGGGTCCATGGATGGAATATACTCAGAGGGACTGATTAGACCTCGACCTGATTACAGGGGTTCTTGCTAAACTAAACTAAAAGATTCTTGATAAACCTGGAATCCTAAGGTGAAGAATACAGAAGATCATGGTCAAGGTCTAGTCAAAAAGACAGTTCAAAGAGAGTTGACCTAAATGCAGTAGTGTAGGCATCTCTGTGAGTGGAGTTGACCTGGACGCGTCAGGTCAGGCATCTCTGTGAGTGCAGTTGACCTGGATGTGTCAGGTCAGGCGTCTCTGTGAGGACAGTCAACCTGGACGTGTCAGATCAGGCGTCTCTGTGAGGACAGTCGACCTGGACGTGTCAGGTCAGGCATCTCTGTGAGGACAGTTGACCTGGACGTGTCAGGTCAGGCATCTCTGTGAGGACAGTCGATCTAGACGTGCCATGTCACTGACTTTCTAAGTCTGGATAGAGCAGGATAACAGGAAGACAGAGACCAGCAGCTCGGCACGATGTATTCACTTTCAGTGTTTATTTTAATGAAATGAATTTGACTCAAATAAAAATACACAAATGTGGGAGTGAAAAAAAAACAAATGTAGATTCTGAAGAAACTACAAAAATAAGGATAATTATTAAAATAGACATTTCATAAATAAGTTTGATACTTAATGAAAAAAAAATTTCTGGCCAAGTATAAATGATAAAACATTTCTAAGGGCCCCCCACCGGCCTGACCTGCCACTAAGGATCCCCCTTGAATGGCCTGCCCTAGGACTTCCTTGGCATTCTTGGTGCTAAGGGACCCCTGGTCTGTCCTGGCCTACCTCTAAGAGAACCCCTGGTCTGGCCTGGCCTGATCTGTCCTGCCATGCCACTAAGGGCCTCCCTCGAATGGCTTGCCCCAAGGCCCCTTTGGCCTGCCCTCCCACTAAGAGGGCCCCTGGCCTTTCCTGGCCTGCAACTATGGGCTGCCCTGGCCAGATGTGCTCCTAAGGACCCCACTGCCACTAAGGGCAGGCCTGTCCAGGCCTACACAAGAGACCCACTGGCCCGGCCTGCCTCAGGGCCCCTGTTTTAGTCCATTTTGTGTTGCTATAAGACAATACTTGGAACTGGGTAATTTATAAAGAAAAATGAAATTTATTGCTTATGGTTTCTGAGACTAGGAAGTACAAAGTCCATCTGGTGGTGGCAACAGTGACCCAGGGGTCTCACATTGCAAGATGCTGGAAGCAGAGAAAACAGAGACAGACAGACACCCATGTGCTCTACTTTTAAAGCCCTCAGAACCATACACCTGACCACCATTTTTAATCAATACAATTTGGCATGGTCTGCCCCGCCCCCCCAAAACTCAAGTCCTTTTCACATGCAAATACAGGCATTTCATCCCCAGTCTTAACTTGTTTCAAGAGTCCAAAGTTCAAAGGCCCATCTGTGAAATCAATACAATTTATCTATTTCCAAGATACAATGGTGGGACAAACATAGGGTACATGCTCCCATTCCAAAAGGAACACATAGGCCAAAAGAAAGGGGTACTGGGTTCCCAGGAAGTCCAAAATCCAGCAAGGCAGGCATTAAATCTCAAAGATGGTGAATCATCTACCTTGAGTCCATGTTGCATGTCCTCTGCATGCTGGTGTGGGGGATGGGTCCCCAAGTCCTTGGGCAGCTGTGCTCCTATGGCTTTCCTGGTTGCAGGCCTCACTTCAGCAATCCCAGGCTGTCATTCCACTCTGTAGCTCCACAGGTCTGGGGTCTCCATGGCAGTCCTGCTCTCACGGCCCTACTAGACATGGTGCTGATGGAGTTACTCTGCTGCAACTGCGCCCCACGTTTGCACTTGGCATTGCTCTTGCAAAGGCTGTCTGCAGTGACTCTGTCCATGTGACAGATCTCTGCCTGGGTCCCCAAACTTTCCCATACATCCTTTGAAATCTGGGTGGAGGCTCCCAAGCCTAATGAGCTCTGGTATTCTGTGAGCCTGAAGACCTAACATCACGTGAACTCCACCAAGGCTTCTGGCTTTTATTTTCCAAAGCTGTGGGTCCAGCCACACCTGGGGCCAATTTAGTCACAGCTGGATCAGCCAAAGCAGCCGGGGTGCTGGTGCTAGAAGCAGTTTCCCAAGGTGGCCCTGAGCAGTAAGCCCGTGGAGTACTCCTCAAGCCAGTTCCCCAAGACAGTTTTGTCTCCCTAGATCTTTGGGCCTGAAATGAAAGAGGTGGCCCCAGAGACTTCTGCAATGCCTTCGGGGTCTTTTTCTCCTTCTCTTGATAATCCCATTCTTTTGTTAATCTTCTTAGTGCCATTGAATTTTCCTTCTGAAAATGCTCTCTTCTCCTCTACCACCTGGCCAGGCTGCAAATTTTCCAAATCATCACACTCTGCTTCCCTTTTAAGTTCTGGCTTTATGTCACGCCTTCGCTGCCATAACTCAGAGCAGGCTCTTACAAGTAGCCATGCAGCTCCCTTAATGCTTTGCTGCTTAGAAATGTCTTCCACCAAAGACTCTGGTTCACAACTCTTAAGTTTCAACTTCCACACAGTCCTAGAGCATGGACACAATGCCGCCAAGTTCTTTGCCAGTTTACAGCAAGAGTGATCTTTGCCCCAGTTTCCAATAAACTCCTTATTTCTATCACAGACCTCCTTCGAATGGTCTTTACAGTCTGTATTTACATAAGCATCCAGCTCACCACCATTTAAACAGTCTCTAAGACATTCCAAACTTTCCCTCCTCTGTCTTCTTCTGAGTCCTCCAAACTGCTCCAAACTCTCAACACCACCCAGTTCCGAAGCCATTTCCACATTTTCAAGAGTCTATTCCAAGCAACAGCCCACTCCTGGTACCAATTTTCTGTGGCTATAACAGAATACTTGGCACTAAGGGCCTCCATGGCCAGGTTTACTATTCTGAGCACCATTGCTAACAATGGTGCCTTCTGCTAAGGTCCTCCCCGGCCTGGCCTGGCACTAAGAGGCCCAGTGGCCTTACCTGTTCCTAGGGTCCCCAGCCCTGGCCTGCCTCTAGGGCCCCTATAAGGTGGGCAGGCCTGCAATTATGGCTCCCCTGGCCAGGCAGGCCTACCGCAAGTACTCCCTAACCTGGGATGGCCTGCTCCTAGGGAAGCCTCGGCCCTGCCTAGCCTTCGCCCAGAAATTCCCTAGCCTGGCCTGGGCTGTCATGAGGACACTGCTGGCCTGGCCCAGCCTGGCTCAGAGCCGAGGACCCCCTGACATGTCCTGGGCTGTCACAAGGGACCTGATGCCCTTTCCTGGCCTGTAACCTTGGGCTACTTCCATCCTGGCCTGCTATGCCACTAAGGAGACACATGGCCTGGTCTGACCCTAGGGCCCCTGGGGCCTTGCCTGCCACTCAGGGCTGCCCTGGCTCCTAGGCTGCCAAGGGCCTCCTACTGCTGTGGGCCAGCCTCGCCTAGCATGCCCAAGGATCCCACTGGTTGTTCTGCCATATGGCTACAATTTACTACTCTGCCCCTAGTAGACCAGAACCATAAGGGCCAACCTGCCACTAAGGGCACCCCTGCCACGAAGTGCGCCACTTGACTGGCCTGTCCCTGGGGAACCTTCGCCTGTCTTGGTGCTAAGAGACCCCCAGCTTGCCTCTAAGAGATCAACTGGCATAGCTTGCCCTGCGACTAAGGGCCCTCATTGAATGGCCGGGCCCATGGCCCCCTTGGCCTGCTTACTGCTAAGGGCACCCTGGCCTTGCCTGCCTGCATGTAAGAGATCCCCTGGACTGGCATGGCGTGACCTAGGGGTCTCTTATAAGCAGGCAAGTTCAGGCTGGGACAGACCTGAGGCAGGCCCAACCAGTGGGTCTCTTCTCTACACCTGGTCAGGCTCACCCATAGTGGCAGTGGGACCCTTAGCAGGCCTGGCCAGGGACCGATAGTGGTAGGCCAGGAAAGTCCAGGGGCACTGTTAGTGGCAGGACAGGCTAAGTGAGGCCAGGGTATCTCTTAGAGGCAGGCCGGGCTGAGGGTGCCCACGGGGGGCGGGTGTCTTTCTTTCTTTCT